CTCTCAGAGGCAAAACGCAAACTCAAAACAGCTTTAATGCTAAACTCAAAAGGGTAACAAAACTAGGAATACAAAATAAGCTTACACAGCAAGATGAGGGTAAATCACGACACAGACAGATGAAAACACAGGGCTTAAATACACAGAGGGAGCAATGAGGGAATGAGTAACAGGAGGGAAACACAGCTGGGGCAAATCAGGCCTAACGAAACAGGGGAAGCAAAACCAGATACATTAACATAAGACATGGACCTTCAAAGCAAAACAGGAAACATAACACAGACTGAACAAAAGACACAGACTCACATGCAGGCACTGCAACAGAGGGAACAGAGACGTGGGACCAGGGCAGACACAGACACGGAGATATAGCCGACAGGGGAGACAGCAGCTAAGGATTACACAGAGACATAAACCATAAGACAGAACTCTAACAAAGAAACCAAAGACTGGAAATGATAAATAATATAATAAACTCAAAAACCCTGGGTCAACGACCCAGGCATCCTAACAGGCTGCTCTGCATCCAGTGCACTCTTATATACGCCATATATAACCAGCGAGGAGTCTTTTTTCTATGAGTAAATATTTACAATTAGTTGAAAAGAAATTGGCCAAAACCAAGTTTACGAATTTAGGCATTTAACAGAAATGGTGTTGTTTGTCTATTAAAGCATGCAACTCTGGAGCAGAAATTGTCGCCTCTTTGTCTCATTGTAGGTTTTTTCCTGATTTTTTTTAGCTGGATACGTAGCCTCTTAAATATCACTTTGTCAGTAAATATTTAAGTTGTTTATAAAATATACTGCATGTTAAACAAACCCAAAGAGTAAAACTGCCCTTACATGACAGTGGCTTGTCTTTTTGCACTTTATCTGCATGTAACCTGATTGAAATTACACATAATCCTTCTACTTTCAGTTTTATTGAATGTGGTGGGGACTTTAGTTTGAAAGAGGTAGAAAACAAGGTAGATCAACTGACAGTATGAAAAAAAAACATCGGGAAAAAGAAACTTTCTCAGTCTGACAGATGACAGCCTGTGAATGAAAATATGGCAGCAGAGAGTCTGTCTGCCAAATTTCTCCAGGATGAGGGGATGTGACACTTAATAACAGCCTTTCTTATCGTACACGTATCATAGAGACACAGAGTGTTTCACGTGTGCTTCCTTCAACGTTCAGTTTGCACAGATTTAAAAGGAGGCCCAAACTAAAATGAACTACCTTCACCTTCATTTCTTCCACTTTTTTTAATGAGCTGCTCTGAGCTGTACCTTTTCGTAGAACCTCCTATTACTCATTCGTCGCCCGCCCCAATCATTACCAGCAATATTCGAAAGTCCACTGGTTTTCAGTGTATGCTGTGCCACTTTGAAGTTGAGTGGGGATCCTTTGCAGCAATGACAGGCAACTAATTAAATCTGATCTGGAGTTCTCGTTTGATTCGCCGTTACTGTTAACCACAGTCTCCAGGGAAGATGAAGAAAACTAACGTTAAAGATATCGTTCTTTACCTCTTTAGTGTCGATGGGGTCTTCGCGATGAAGCTGGCTGTATGTCTTAAATAGGCGTATAAAGAGGATCAAGTCAAACAGATAGACAACCTGTGAATCTGAAGCTGTAAGCTGTTAAACTGGTGCATTAACCTCCTGCCTCCTAAATCTCTCTTAATAATCAGCTGTTAACAATGCTCAATTTTCCTTCTGTTAGTTAAAGCATAAAAATATTGTGTACTTTAAGTACAAACGTGGTGCACATTTGAACCCATGAAGCACATTTAATGAATATATTCTCTTTAAGAGCCTTTAAAATCTCATTCGACTGATCCTTAAAATGCTCTGCTACTCTGTTTGAGGACTCAAAGTGCTTTCTTACTACAAGCCTCATTCACCCACTCACAGTGCATTTTTTTCTATGCCTAAGCATGTTTAACTTAACGTTTGCACACTCAGACTCCAGTAGATATATTGGAGGCAGCTTGGGGTTCAGTGTCTTTCCTGAGTACACTTTGACATGCAGACTGCTGCAGGTACTCGAACGACAACCTTCTAATTCGTAGACGTTACCCTCTACCCACTGAACACATGTACAGTTTATTGTTTATCAGCATAACTTTACACATACAGCGAGCATAACGCCCAAGTGCATATTTATAATACAAAGGCTTAGGCTTAACTTTCCATTAAGAAATGTTGAACTTTCCGTGTCAATTTGGTGTCCTGTGAGGTTACAGTGAAAAGCTCTGCATAAAACAATCCATGCAAATCCAGCATCTTGTTGCCCCATATGCACCAATCCATAGGTCAATGATACCTTGACTGCATATTTGCAGATCCAAAACAGTTTTACATTCATCAAAATGCAACATTTGTCCCCATTGGCGAATGAAGGAGAAATTGATATCCACAGTAACAAGTCTGAACAAATGGTCTGTGTCATGAATGTGAATGAACGGAAATCAAATTTGTTCTGTAACTGTGAAATGAGAGATGTTGTTTCCTTTTCTCTTAAAATTAAACAGCACTGCTTTGCAGACTGAACGAAGAGAAGATTAGGCTAATATTTATACACCAAACACTTTGTCTTACACAGGAAGGCATTAATAATCAACAGTCTGAAACAGTCCTCCTAAGATACAATAAATAGCATTTGTCTTGAAAGTCAAACTAAGTTTTCCTTTCGTCCAATTCATTCCTACATTGATTGTGGGCCCTTTTTAAGATGCTTTGGACCGCATTTTTTCCATGTGTGCTGTAGATGCTTTAAAGGGTAATGCATATATATTAAAGGCAATGAGAATATGAGAGTCATGGGAATATGATTACTAGGAGTACTCTTTTAATATTGCTTCATATTCTACTGTTAATTAGAGCTGTTATTAAAAGAAAAGTAGTCAGTCTCTCACTTGGTTGTGGAAGATTTTGGCCCACTCTTCTTTCATTCATTGAGGTTTGCAGGCAACACAACACAGCTTTAGAGTCAGGTTGAAGTCTCGACTTTGACTGGTCCAGTAAAGACTTCAGTAATTCTGCTGTAGATTTGCTGCTATGCTTCGGATCATTGCCCTTTTGCAAGACCAAGTTTCATCTGTCAGACACAAGGTTTCATGTTTGAAGAGAAAACTTTGGTATACAGAGGAGTTCATGGTCAGCACAATGGCCACAAGGTACCCAGGTCCTGTAACACAAACATAGATGATCAATTGTCCACCACCGTTCTTGACAGTTGGTATGAGGGTTTAGTGCTGATATGCTGTGTTGGTTTTCCCCAGACATCTCTACTGGTTGATTGATTCAATTCATCCATCCATTCGCTTCCGTTTATCCTTTTCAGGGTCGCGGGGGGCGCTGGAACATTCCCAGCTGTCATAGGGCAAGAGGCGGGGTACACCCTGGACAGGTCGCCAGTCTGTCGCAGGGCCAACACACAGGGACAGACAACCATTCACACTCACATTCACTCGCACATTCAAAATATCAATCAACCTATCCCCACAAGCTGCATGTCTTTGGACAGTGGGAGGAAGCCGGAGTACCCGGAGAGAACACGGGGAGAACATGCAAACTCCACACAGAAAGACCCCGGCCTGATGGTGGAATTGAACTCAGGACCTTCTTGCTGTGCGGCAACAGTGCTAACCACCGTGCCACCGTGCTGCCTTGATTCAATTCAGTTCAGTTAAATTCCATTTTATTAATGTAGCGCCAAGGCAACAGTTGCTTCAACGTGCACATTGTTCCAGAAATCTTGTTCAGGATGTATGTTTGCACACCTAAGCTGTAGTGCCATGTTCTTTTTAACCTCCTAAGACCCGAACTCTTCCACGACATGGATTTTTAATTTCTCTTTGATATTTGGGCTGATTGGGACCTGATGAATGTAAAAACAAAGAATTACCAGATTTTATTTTTTACCTTGTTTTTTAAGAAAAATGAGAGCCACATATGAGGATATTCATTTAAACTTTTGATAGAACCATAGCAGTATAATGTCCTCGTAAGTGGATATCAGGCCCATGTAGAGCAAAATTGAGTATTTTGGTCTAAATAACCCAAAATGTGATGTCCACATATGTGGACGCCAGGTCCTAGGAGGTTAAAGAGAAGATGCTTTCAACTGGCAACCTTTTTGGAAAGGTATGCCTGGTAATGTATACACGAGGCCTGTTGAGTCTGAGATGTAGCTCTTTGGTGATTCAAGTCATTCGAGTTTCCATACATCAAGCCTAGATAGCGCAGCATGAGACTCTTAGTCTGATAGTTCGAGCCGCACGTTGGGCATTGGTGTTTAAAGGTCTGACGATGTGGTGAATATCCAAGGTGGTGTCAATGAATGCTGCAGTCCAGCAAACTGTAAGGGTGTGTTAAGTTTTTCACAAGGGTCCAGTGAAAACCTTCACATGAATGTATATCCTATAATAATAGGCCACGAGGTTTGCTATGTGACTTGTGTCAATTCTGCATAAGCATTAGATTATTTAGTACTGCATTAAAATATAAAATTATGCATTTGTATTATAGGCATCTTTTTTTAAAAGTGTCACTTTGAAAGTGAACAAACCGCAGACAAACCCTCATACCAGTGTGTTTGTGTTTCTGTGTGAAAGACATATTTGGTATTCTTCACCGGTAACCAAATCAATTAAATGCACATGTGCACCCCCAAAGAATTTAAGACTGCAGGTGCAACAAAGAGAATTTAAGTGTTTGATCTTTTCCCCGCATCGGAGGACGCCTTCAGGCTCACACGCAAACAGGTTTTCTCTACAAACATATTTAATGCTCCATCTCACAACGTCCACCTACACAAGAAAACGAATGCACACACCTACACGCATGTCTCCTCAACACCCAGCATGTTAAATTTGGTTGTCAGTGAAGCCCAAAAGGCATGCAGCTTTTTCTACCCTTTCAGTGTGTTGCTTTACTTTTTGCACCAAATAGTGACACCTCTTTCTTCAAACTGACTTCCGCAGATGCAGAGAGAGAGTGTCAAGGACACATCAGCAACTTCCAAGACGCCTGACGCAAGTCAAAAGGAGGACAGGTGCTTCTGAAGAGCCGAACTCTGAGGTGCAGTAAATATACTTCAAGGTTCTTGAAAGGTCCCTGGATGACAGGCAGATCTCTGCCAGAACATGTGTATGTGCTAGATGAATGTGTGTGTGTGTGTGTGTGTGTGTGTGTGGCTTAGTGTGTGTGTGTGTGTGTGTGTGTGTGTGTGTGTGTGTGTGTGTGTGTGTGTGTGTGGTATTTAAAAAAAACAATCAAACAGCATTGTGCGTTGAGTGTTTCTCAGTTTAGAGGTCTCTAATGAACATTATTTCTCACAAGGCCTAGACATTTGGTGGCATCGCGCCGTGGCCCTACAGAAGTGTCGAGTCGAGTGGAACCACTAGAAATAATTCAGTGTACAGTCTGTGTGTTTGCATGTCCCAGTGGGACTGGAGTGTGTACGTTCAAGAGTGAACCTGCTGCGTTATGACAGGCTGCAGGATTAACCCACCTGACAGGCATTTGATCAGGTTTGTGGCCGTAGCCAAGTGAAATCAAGGGAATGTGTGACGCTCCATTAATCCATGTATTGGATCACACTGTGTGGTTTTCTGATGGTTTTTTTCTGTCACCAGTGTCACCATATATTGCAGCCAACTGGGCAGTAGCAGAAAATGAAATGATCATAAGGACTTATTGAAAACAAAGGTTAAAATTAGAGTTCATTCTGTTTTTTATAAATATACACTGGACAGTGCCGGCAACATATTTGATTCAGCTTCATGTCTCTTGTACTTCCAGTTGAGTGAGCATCCAATTCTTTCTGTGATAAAGGATCAAATCAACCATTTTACAATACGTTTACCAGACAACGACTAGCCTAGTTCCAGGCTCCTTTTTCTTTTTTTTTCTTCTTCTTTCAGCTGCTCTTCTCTATCTTCAAAATCCTTTGTCCAATATATCCACTATCTGTCTTCTACACATGTCCAAACCACATTAGCCTCTCTAACTTTGGCTCCAAACTGCTCCACCTGAGCAGTACCTCTGATGTACTCATTTCTAATCTGGTGAAAATCCTAGCATTTCCTCTTCTACTTTTATTCATTTATGGGTTTTTTTTAATCCTGTCCTGTCTGGCAGCTTTTGCAATCAGAATTATGATCTGAATACAGTGTTGTGCCAAATACATTTTGCTTTTCCAGGACCAGCTCTACAAATTCTTTGCAGGCTCCTCTTGTTCGGGGTTTATCTGTTTATTTCTTCATTTCTATTTGTGTTATTTCAGTGACTACATTATGGTGGTATACAGTATGACAATGTCTAAGGCAGGACAGGCGGGAAAAGGTGTGTGTGTGTGTGTGTGGGGGGGGG